GAGTGTGAGCCCACAGAAGTGTGACCCCACATTCACCTCAACTAAGAATGTTTGGGTGCCCTGGTGGGCCTTGTCCCTCTGGTGAGGAGGGCATGAGTGTCCAAGGCCAGGAGGGCGAACCTCGGGGAGCACCTGCTTAGCACGTGACCCCAGTCACTGCAGTGACAAGGGCTCAATCGGGAGTAAAGAATGGAAAGAAATACAGGAGAACGAGACAGCTTCGTGCCTTAGGGTTTCTGCCCCTCCAGTAGGACGCGTGGCTGCTCCCCACTCCCACAGCGGGAGGTGTGGGTGCCTGTGTCTCCCTCTGCCCGCGGGCCCACCTGGTAATCCTCCTTTCCCTCATGTGCTCGGCAATGTCTGCAGCACTTTGTGGAAGCTGGAGAGAGGGAGGCAGAGCCCAATCTTGGGACCAAGGGGCTGCTCTCACTATTAGCTTCCTACCAAGACCCTAAAAGCAGTTGAGGCCAGTAACAGTACAGTAGGGAGGGCGCATACTCTGCATGAGGCTGACTAGGATTCAATGCCCCGCGCCCCACATGGCACACAGTGCACTGAGTGCAGAGCCAGGAGACAGCCTTGAGCACTGTGAATGTGGTCCTCCCCCAAATAGCAAAGCCTGAACCTCCTGATCCTACACCCAATGCCCAAGTCCTGCCCACCTCTGGCACCCACAGAGTGAACTTGTCCTTGTGTTTATCTCCACAGGGGAGATCAAGTTACAGTTCTCTTTGTGCATGTGCGTGTATGAATGTGTGTACGTGTCTCTGTATGTGTGTGTGTGTGTGCGTGTCTGTGTGTGTTTGTCCATCTTCTTCCCCTTTTCAGCTGTCCCAAATGTTGTCATAAATATGCACTGAGCAGACGCTGTAGCTGAGATCACATCCTTTAGGAGAGACCCAGAGAGGAACTGATGGGTAAAAAAGGTGGTCACAGGGGAGACAGTACAGGAGTGCATGCAGCTGACTCATCGATCCCAGTTTGATCCTTACCGCCCCTCCTCCCAAACCTTCCAGGAGTGATCTCTGAGCACAGAAACCAAGGAAAAGCCCTGGTCACCACATGCAACATCATCTCAGAGAACTGGGATGGACTCAGAACATTTTCCTCAGGAGAACTCAGACAGTACAGCAGATAAGGCATCAGCCTGAGTGTGACTGACGGATTTCCATCCCCAGTAACCACATAGGGTTCCTTGAACCCCAAACAGGGGTAACCCTGGAAGTATAAACCTGGAGTAGAGAGGGTGTGCCCTAATTTCTCCCTCCAAAAAATAGATTAAAAAAAATAACAGGGATTCAACAGGCTGAACACATGCTTTGCAGATAGGGGCCTAGATTCCATTCCCTGCGCTGCATATGGGGTAACCAAAGCACTGCCAGGGGGACCCTGAGCACAAAACCCTGTTCCTCGGGTTTATCCCCCTCTTCCCAGCAGGCTCTGCTTACTGCATTTTGGTACCATTTTGGCACCATTTTGAGCCCATCTCCTCCAGGCGCAGCTCCATCCTGACTCTGCCCCCTCACCCTTGCCTCAGGAAATCCCCATTTTCAGGCCCCTCAACCGGAGAACTCCCTCCTCAGCCCAATGGGTGCCGCCTCCCGGAAGCACCTGCAATTCCCACCCCACACTGGGAGCACACACTGCTCACTCCCACCGGGGGCCTATGGCCTGAATTCTTCCAGAAGGAAAGAGGGGATGAGGAAAGGGAAGGAAAATCACTGGTTCCTGTTTTATTTTTCAAAAAAAAAAAGTTCTTAATGTTTTTACATTAAGATCAATAGATTATTAATTATTGATATTATCAAATCCTAGGAAGTTGGTGAAATTGAGCAGAGGTCCCTATGCTCAATGTATCCCAGTAGTGACATGTACTCTGGAAAGCAGAAAGTGGACACTGGAGTTCACTCACTGCAAACTAGGCTCCAGACTTAGTCACTACATTTTTGGGGGGGCTCCATCGGGCAGAGCTGGGGACCATGCGGTGCCAGGAATCAAGCCCAGGGCTCTTGCACGTAATCATCCCTTTGAACTACCCCTGACCTCTACTCACCAGTTTTAAAAGCAGCATTCATGTCCTTTCCAAAGGGCTTGGGGGGTTCCCCTGAAGTGCTCTGGGCACTGAGAGCTATTTCCATTGATGTCCAGCCCAGTTCTAAGGCCTCACATTCAGAGCTGGGGTCTATGGGGACAGGGATCCAACTCAAGACTTGTGCATCTCAGGCACACAACACCCCTTGGAACTCTTCCCACAGATCCCCTGGGTCACTTTTTGGGTTTGGTCCACACCCAGAGGTGCCCGAGAACCACTCCTGTGTCAGGGGCCCATATGGGGAGGAACCTGGGTCCGCGGTATTTAATATAAGTGTCCTCCCACTCTCTGCTGCCCACCCCTGCCCTGTGCTGTCCCTTGAATTCATGGCATAACCACCACTGCAGTCAAAAGACTCGGGGCAGGAGGGACAATACAGTAGGGAGGGCCTTTGGCCACACACAAATAAACTGGGTTTGAGTCCCGGCACTACCTATGGTCCCCCAGGCACTGCCAAGAGTAAAGTGTTCCAGAGCACACCAAAGAACCCTGAGCTCCATTAGGTTTAGCCCCCAAAGTGCAGTCTGGGTCTGGAGTGATACAGTGCAGCAAGGAGGGTGTTTACCTTGCACGCAGCCAACCCAGGTTCAATCCCAGGTGTTAAATGTGGTCCCCTAGGGGCTGGAGCAATAGCACAATGGGTAGGGTGTTTGCCTTGCACGCAGCCGACCCGGGTTCGATTCCCAGCATCCCATATGGTCCCCCAAGAACTGCCAGGAGTGATTCCTGAGTGCAAAGCCAGGAGTAACCCCTGAGCATCGCCAGGTGTGACTCAAAAAGAAAAAAAAAATGTGGTCCCCTGAGCACCGCGAAGAAATTCCTAAGTGTAGAGCCAGGACTAACCCCTTAGCATCACCAGGTGTGCCATCCCCCCCAAAAAATCCTCAGTACATTACCAAAAACCAGGAAATCATGTGTGTGTGTGCATAGTGCTAGGGACTCAACTCAGGGCTTCACAGCTGCTCACCCTTACCAACTGGGTATCTGTTCTCATGGACAACTTGTGCCCTTCCTGCACACATCAAGGGTCAGTCCTGATGGTGCTCAGGGAACCCTGTGGTGAAAGACAAGTGCCTGTACTCTCTCCAGTAGGTACCTTGTTTGGGGGCCACACCCAGATGTCCAGATCCAGGGGTTACTCCTGGATTCAGGAATTATTCCTGGTTGGGCTCGGGAGACTATCTGGATTGCTGGGGATCAAACCCCCAAGCTGGACGACTGCAAGGTGAGTGTCCTACCTGCTACACTGTAACTCCGGCCCCAGATTATAGATAGATAGATATAGATAGATAGCGGAGATTGGTTTTGGTATAAACCCCAAAATGCTCATGGGCCAGAGAGACAGTACAGCAGGTAGGGCGTTGCCTTGCAAGCAGCGAAACTGGATTCAATCCCCAGCATCCCATTGGGTTCCCCGAGCACCACCAGGAGTAATTCCTGAATGCAGAGCCAGGAGTAAACCCTGAACATCGCTGGGTGTGACCCAAAAAGCATTACAAAAAAACAATCAAAGATCACTCCTGGTGGGGCTCCTCAGACCACATGTGGTGCTGGGGAGCATGGGTCTGCCATGTGCAAGGCAAGAATACCGCCCACTGCATTATGCCTCTGGCCCCAAGACATGCCAGCAACCTCTGGACCAAGGAATCAACTCGCTGCTGGCAGCCATCTCCACCTACTGGTGGAGCCCCACCATAGCAGCCCACTTGGGAGTGCTGTTGGGAGCCTTGGGTTGGATTCCCAGAGTCCCTTGGTCTCCTGAGCACCCCTGGGAGCTATCAGAGTATCACCTGGTATAGGCCCCCAAAATTCAGGTCCCCTGGATCACCTGGAAACCGGGTCAGTACTTCCCGAACACATGCATTCATCTCCGCCAAGCTCTCCCATTGCAGGGCTCCCCGTTTTGTGGCTCTCCACCCTGTGGGCCCCTGCCCTGCCCCCACTCGGGTACCTGACCTTCCTCTTGCCAGCAGCTATGCTGGAAGAGCAGTTGGTTGCCCTGGTTCACCCCGTCCCCTGTGCAGCCTTACCCCAACCTTGTGCTCTGGCCCCAGGATATGTCTCACTTCCAGGGCCTTGACCCAACAGCAGTTGGTGGGGGGAGAATGGAAGAGAAGGGGATGTGCCTTTAATTCTTTTGTTTGTGGGTGATGCTCTGGATCCAAATCGGTCTCACAGGTGCAAGGTAAGTGCTCCCTCACTGAGCCATGTTCTGGCCCTTTCAAGTTTCCCTTGGGGCAGGTGGTGGTATTCAGGGGACCACCAGGGTCAAGCCCTACTACCTTGGGGCACCTCCTGGCCCTGATCTCTAACTTTTCATGAATTTAGGGGCAGGGGGCGGTAAGAAGTCTCTGTAGCTGTTGGGACGAGACCAGGCAGCAGCCTGCCAGGGACAAAGACCACAGGACCTGGATGTGCCTCCCAGTCCTTGAGCCCCAGCCAACTGCCCACCTGCTTCCTTAGTCCCCTCACCTCAGCCCTGTTCCCGGGTCCTCTAGAGTATAGGAGTCAGATGCACTGTTCCCCAGGTGTTCTCCAGGCCCACACCCAGACCTATGAAAGAGACGGGACCAAGAAAGTGTCACAGTGGATGGAATGGAGGCTTGCCCGAGCCAGCAGATGTCTGGGTGCCCAGGGACCCGAGCAGATGCAGGACAGCTGGGTGCACTCTGGAGCGGCCTCTCCCCATGTAGAGACTGCAGTGCCTGCCCCAGCTGTCAGGACTCTGTGGTGCTGGGACCCAGGGCAGTGGACACAGCACAGCGAGTGAGTGGGGCACAGCACTTGGAAGACTCAGGCCCGGGCAGTGATCAGACTCAGGGCACAGCCCCAGGAATGAGCTTCTTGAGCTTCAGAAGGGACATGGAAGCAGCAGAAACAGCCATTGATCGTCATTTTTTTATCTGTCCTTGAGCAGGCCCCACCCAAACAATGGGGTGGGGTTGTCTCTTTCCGTATCTCCTCTAGGTCTTGGCCCCTGACAAGGCTGGTGGCGGCCAAGGGACACAGAGGCAGGCTGGAGACTAGCAGGCCCCCAACGAGAGTCTGGCTGAGGGTCTGGGATGGGAAATGGGAAGTGAAGGAAGGTACTGGAACTCAGGGCCAGGTTCTGAATCCACCCAACACTCTGCTGCCATCTCCTGATAGCCCGGTGCCTGCAGATGGGAGCACTGGAGCCCCGAGCCCAGCTCCATGCCCCTGGGTATGGCCCCAGGCAGGCTGGTGTCAGGGGTCCTGAAGGGGGCATGATGGGAGGAAGCGTACCTCTGGCCCATTGTGCCTCTACTCAGTGGGTCTTGAGATGCGTGCCCCTGACCCCTGACAGAGCCAGCAGGAGCTGCGCAGCATAATAGGTGGTCATGACCACCAGGCGGGCATGAGGCAGGGGCCGGGCGAAGGTGGTCCAGGCCAGCACAGAGTCCGAGACAACAAAGAGCAGCGCCCCCCATCTGGCCACACCACCCCGGGCCAGGCCACGCCACAGCATGGCAGCCAGGATGACTGCGTAGGCCATCACAGGAAACACCATGTCTGGGGGCACGTGCAGCAGCAGGAGGGCCGAGTAGGGCACAGAGAAGAGCCCAATAGGTAGCAGCAAGCCCGGCCGCAGTGGTGCCAAGCCCAGGGTCCAGATGTACAGCAGGTGGGCTGTAGCGAAGGCACCCATACCTGAAGGAGACAGAGTGAGGGCACCCAGTGAGTCCCCCATCAGCACCCCCACCCCCCTCACCCTAGCCAGGTCATCATAACCTCGGTCCCCCAGAGCTGGGCACTCAGCTGACTCAGTTTACAACCATCCAACTAACTCTCTTCTCACATGGTCCCCCTTGGACATATTGGCCAGCTGAGAGGCCTATGCCCACGCCCACCCCAAGGGCCATACTTGGGGTCCCTCTGGCCAGCCTGTCTTGCCTGGATGGGGCAGGTGCTGTACAGGCGACGGAGCAGTGCTGGGCAGCATAATAGGTGGCAGTGACCACCAGGTGGGCATGAGGCAGGGGCCGGGCGAAGGTGGTCCAGGCCAGCACAGGATCAGAGACAGCGAAGAACAGCACCTTCACCTCCTGCACCTGTCATAGGCGGTCACTCACCGTAGAGGAAGGCATGCGGCCAGATGAGGCAGATGTCTCCCACGGCAGAACACAGAAGAGCCACCATCAGGCAGGTGCAGGAGCTCTGTTGAGAAGCCGTGGCCCGCATGAACAGCACCAGGCAAAAGATGGGCAGGCTCTTGACTAGGGCGCTAAAGCCCGACGGCTGGTCCTCAGGAATCCAGAGCAGGAAGAAGACGACACAGGCAAGCACAAATGGGATGAGCCACCTGTACACAGGCGGCTGCTTCTGCCGAGAGGGAGTCGCTGAGCTGTCAGCACCCGTACCACACTCCGGTGCAGCCTGAGCCTCGGTCTCTCCCATCTCACATTCTCAGGATCACTCCTGACCAAGGCTCAGAGTACCAAACCCCACAGTCTCCCACCCCACCACTGCAGGGACCCCAGCTAAGCCATCCAGGCCGGGCCCTCCAGTGACACAGGTGCCATCTCGGGGTCTCCTAGAGCCAGGCCACCCCCCCCCACCCCACCTTGGGCTGCTTACTTGGGCTGAGGAGCGAACCTTTCGGGACAGCCCCTCTTTCCTGGCATCCATGTTGGCTGTGTTAACCCTGCTAGGGCCTTCTGGACACTGAATGCTTTGGGGTGAGGGATGGTACGTGGTTACACGTTAACCCAGCGTGTCCTGTGGACTCTGGGCTGATAACAGGCCTGGGATGCTGCCCGCCTGGTGATGGCTCCGCCTGGCACTGCTGATAAGGTATGCATGGGGACAAAGGCTCCTTCGTCAGCTGATGAGGACTGTGGCTGCCCCCAGAGACCACTGCCCAGCAGGGGTGTGGAGCCTCCCCTGCCACTCTGGTCTCTCCATGTCTTCCTGCACCAAGGAAGCTGTCACCCCTGTTGGTACCGGCTCACCCCACAGCCGGATGGAAAATTCAGCACATGCGCCCTGCTCCCGGGGCTCCTATCTCCTCACTCCTGCCAGCGGCCTTAGATGCCATTTCAACTAAAGGTCCCTAGACATGACGACAAGACTGTGGTTCTGGAGCTTTCCACTGTGGAGGGAAGAGACTGACTAGGAGCCTGGCTGGCAAGTGGGAGGGTGGCGTGCCCTCCCACAGGCAGGGCGTTCCCTGATGTACCAAGGGGACCCCAGGAGCAGGATCACCAGCACCAGAGAACCCACAGGCAGGCCAGGCTGCCCCCTGCCTGGGTTCCTGGCTGGTGCCCGAACTCAAGGTCTCACAAGCAGAGTCTTAAATGGTCTCCTTTATTAAGATTTGTGATACCAAAGCAGCTTGCACGAACACGCACTCACGCCAGCCTGGGGACAGGGAGCAGGGAAAAGGTCACTTGGCAGCTGGGCTGGACCCCAGGCCCTCAGGTAGAGAAAGGACTCCGAATTGAAGCCTGCTCCGAGTCGGGTCTGCAGGCTCTCGGTCTTGGGGTCCAGGGGAATGCCATCAGGAGACCCCTGGACTGGGACCCCGAGCCTGGAGTCACTGGGCAGGCACAGGGTTCCTTGGCTCCCAGCTGGCTGAAAAGTGCAGGGTCAGGGCAAAGGGGTTAGGCAAAGGCACAGCCCCACTCAGGCCCCCAAGTGGACAGGAGCTGCCAGGCCAAGTGTGGGTATGGACATCTGCACCAGAGGGCAGAACACAGGAAAGAGGCCACCTACTGGCTGTAGCCTGCCCTCTGGCCAGCCTGGTGTTCCTCCTGCCACGCTGTACCCCCAGACACATGTGTGTGTGTGTGTGTGTGTGTACATATATATGCATATATAATATATGTATGTATATATATTATATATATACATATATATAATAGAGGCCTCTCACATCCCGCCACGCCACTCTCTAGCTTTATTCTAGGAGACAGGGCTCCAGAGTTTCTTGTCTCAGTGCAAATAGGGTGGGGGTGGGAGGGTGTCTCCCTGGCACCAGTCTCCTGGGAGTCCAGGGAGGAGGGGCGAAGGTGATGGGTAACGGGGTCATCGTGGGACCTGCCCTGCCCGCACACAGGCGGACACAGGAGCAGAGAGGGCTGCCACCAGGGCAGGCGGGTCATTACCTGGAAGTAGAGGGAGAGCACATGAACACCCACACATGCTCCCAGTCCTCTACAGCCCCCCAGCTGCCCCTGGCATGCCCACTCACTGGGAGCCCGGGGATACCGGCCCACCGGGGGAAGAGCCATTGGGCACTGGAGGCGGCTCGCAGGTCTGGGCACTGAAGGGAAAGACAGGAAGTAGTCAGGGCCTGGCACACCCCGCCACATGCCAGTCAGTCTGTAAGGCTGCCCACACTCACCTCTGGTCTGGGGGGAGCCCAGAGGGTTCTGGGCTCTTGCCCTCTGTGGTCTGGGAGACAGAGGTAGCAGAGTCTCTGGTCACACTGCAGGGGTTGGATGGGTGCCAATCAGGACATCCAACTCAGCATTCTCCCAGAATTTCAGGGGCCCCCTCCCATCCCTCATGCCCAAAGATCCCCCCCAGAGCCAACCCCCGCCCCACTGACCCTCTGAAAAGCCCCTAGTAACCCTGGGTGCTTCCTGGAGGCCAGGGCCCTGGCCCTCAGGCATCTAGAGAAGACAGCGGGGCCCACTCTCTGTCAGCCCCAAGACCACACAGCCCCCAGCTTGTCACCTGTCCAAAGAGCTAGGGGTGGAACATGTCCCTCTGTAGGTTGCCTGGAGGTCCCCGATGCTGACCAAGGCCTGGCAGGGAGCTGCGGGGAGGCAAGACTCAGCAGGGGCTGGTCTAGGGGCAGGTGCATCAGGATAGGCTTCCCTGAGGGTTCACTCACCCGAAAGCTCTGCTGCTTTGCCACTGACTGGAGCTTCCTGAGGTGCTGAGGCATGTATAGACTCCTGAGTCCTGTGGGTGAGCAAAGCAGCCCAAAAGGGACCTGGGGCTAGAGTTCACGCCTATAAGAGAGCGGGCCCCAGCAACAACTGCCCATCTCACCTGAACTGCAGGGCCTCGGGGGCCAGACAATTGGCTGGGCTCTGGGCAGGGAGGGCATGGGACCCATCAAGGTGACCCTGAGCGGCAGGGGATCCAGAGTAAGACTCCTGGGAACCCTGAGTGTTGGCCAAGGTGTCCATAGGCACTGGGACAAAAGTGGCTGTCCAGCTGGGGTCTGGGAAGAATAAGGTGTGGGACAGAAGTGAGCCTACGGCAGGCAGACACAGGGCCTGTGTGCCTAGCCAGTGCCCTTCAAGTTCACCCACCTGAAGATTGAAGGCCAGGGCTGGCATAAGGTGGGGGGCTGGCTTCTCCCAAAGCTGGTCCTCCATCACTGTCCTCCTCCTCTTCCTCCTCATCTTCATCTTCCTCACTGTCTGTGCTGCCTCCACTCCTGTCCCCAAAACTCCTATCATCGGCTGTGCTGGAAAGAACCAGGCCAAGCTCCCAGCCGTCCACCCCTTGCCCCCAGGAGTTCCAGATGATTAAAGATATGGGGGTATTGGAGCAAGGGCAGTGCCTGTGCCCAGGATGAGGGCATGACAGGAGGTAGGAGTGAGCACCCTGGAGGCAGTCAACACCCCACACAAAGGTGAGGAAATGTCCCAGACAGGGGAGCCCAGGATGGCCACAGAGCCCCAGCCCGAATGGGCTCTCATTCCCCTCTGCCTCTGTTTCTGTCCCCACTGTGCCCTCCACTGTCCAGGAGGCCAGGGATGAATGCTGGCTGTAGAGAAGGTGCCTGGAGGGGTTGCTCTCTGGGAACCCAACAAAGCAGCACACACCTCTGCCTGCCGTGCCAGGTATGGTCAGTACTCTGAGCCACCTGAAACGCCGAGGGGATTCTTGAGCCTCAAAAGGGCAGCTCAGCACCCCCAGCAAGTACCACACTCACAAGATAAGAACAATGCTCCCTCCCCAGCCCGGGCAAGTAATAAGACCTGGGAGCCACTCACCCCACTGGTTTGAACTGGGGGAAAAATTAGGCAGGAACATAAAACCAAGGACATTTTGGCTGCCATGAAGAGTTCAGCACCTGAGACAGCAGACGTGTGAATGGGAACTAGGACCCAGCACGCAGCCTGTCTCCAACCCCTGAGTACTTGCAATAATCTTACAGCAATTCCATTCACAACTACATCAGAACAGGAGGATTGGGTGGATTGGATGTCAGACTGCATGCTCATGATGCGACGTACAAGTTCAACTCCAGCACCAAACAAAAACAGAGTACCCGGGGCTGGAGCAATAGTACAGAAGGTGGGGCATTTGCGACTGACCTGGTTTTGATCCCCATTATCCCATACAGTTGCCTGAACACAGCCAGGAGTGATTTCTGAGTGCAGAGCCAGGACTAACCCTGAGCATAGTTGAGTGTGGCCCAAGAACCAAAAAAATTAAGTAATTTTTCTAAGTGCCCATAAATAAAACTACTAGAAAGAGCACAAAATCTGTATTGCGAAACTGCAAGTCACTGTCAAAAGCCAGTGGACCAGGAGACAAGTCAGTTCCTCTCAGAATCCCAAGCTGGCTACTGAGTGCTGAAAATGACAAAGCAGATCCTAACATTCCCTCTCAAGGGATCCAGACAGTCAAAATCATCTCAGAAAAGGGGGGAGTGTGGCAAGAGAAAGATTCAACTTCCTGCAGTACAGAAGTTAAGACTGGACTCAAAGGGTTGGAGCCATGGGGCTGGAGTGATAGCACGGCGGGTAGGGCGTTTTTGCCTTGCACGCAGCTGACCCGGGTTTGATTCCCAGCATCCCATATGGTCCCCCGAGCACCACCAGAAATAATTTCTGAGTGCAGAGCCAGGAGTAACCACTGAGCATTGCTGTGTGTGACCCAAGAAAGAGAAGAAGAAAAAAAAAGGGTTGGAGCCTTAAAATGTACTGGAGCCCCAGGTCCAATCCCCAGTGCCACCTTGGTGCCCCAGCACTACTCAAGTAACCTCCAGGAGGAAGCCTCAGGCACTGCAGGGTCTACCCTCCTCTCGACCTCCCTAAAGAAAAGGAAAGGGCATCCTGAAGAAACGACACAAGGGATGCAAAAAGGCCAAACCAAAACCTGGCTCCCAAGATCCAATGGACTGACAGGAATGTGAGAACCAAGAGTGGCAGGTACAGGGAATGAGTGCTGAGACAAGGGGCTGTCCACAGGCAAAGCATGAAGTGAAGACCCACCACGGAGAGGAAGCAAGTCAAAACCCATCAGAGAACTTGAAGCACCAATGCTGACACTCAGGAAAAACAATGGGTCACTGCGTGCCCAACAGAGGGTAAGTGAGACCTGCCACTCCAACAGGGCACTGAGAGCCTGAGAAAGAATGGCAGGAAAGTGGAGGCTGCTGACCTTGCACGTGGCTGACCCTGGTTCAACTTTTAGCATCACATAGGGTCCCTCAGGTCCCACCAAGAGTAAGCCCCAAACTCTGCTGGTTGTGACCCAAAAACCCAACACACAAAACAAAAACCCACTAAGCAGAGGAGAACGAAGCTTATCTCTGGCAGGGCAAAACCTGTCAGAAAGGAGAGTGTTGAGGCGGAGGTCACAGTGTTAAGCTCCCCCACACAGGTTCGGGTGCATGGACCTACAAGCTTACTTGAAGTCACTGAGCACAACATGCAAAGCCTCAGGCAAGAAGCCCAGGGTACAAAGACTCCAAATGACAGGCCCTGAGATGTTGTTCACGCTGGGAAATCTATGGGACACCAACTATGCTACCAGTGGTGACAGGGCAAGGAATCGATGAGACACCAACTGTGCTGCCAGTGGTGACGATGCAAGTGTGACTGCTACATAACACCCCTGCCCAGCCCTGCCAGAGTAAGGAAGGAAAAGCTGATGGACCATCTAACCATCTTCTGGAGGGACAACAGATGTCAGTCATCCTGTCACAATAGGGTGAGCTGAAGTGTTTGGGGAGCAGGAGGGCACTCACCGAATGCCAGGGGGCTGGCCCAGGCGGTCCTCCAGAGCCAGCTGGCTGCTCTGCCAGGCTCCATCCTCCTCATCAGACTCCTGGTCATCCTCTTCCTCATCATCAAACTGCTGGATGCGGTCCTTGTAGCAAATCTCCAGTAGGTTGGTGTTGGGCTGCAGAGGCAGGAGTGAAAGTGGGTAGGCGGCAATGCCCACAGCCCCACCCTAGCAGAAGAGAGGGTAGCACTCACGTTCTCATCGTCAGCATTGAGGGAGAAGGTGATGTTGGCCGTCTTGTCAAAAGGTGCACTAGAAGAGAGATGCACAAGGGTGAGGTGGCGCTGTCTTGGCTTCTTGGATACACAAGTCCCGCATATCCCCATTCAACTGCTCCCTGAAGCTAGTGCTCAGGCACACCCCACCCATTTAGGGAGTTTACAGAGCAGAGAAAATGAATCCCCGAGACATCCATTCCTATCTCTGGCAGATAGGATGATGCCCTGCCTCAGTACACAACTCCTCAGTGGCCAGAAAGCCTCTGTGCCCCACCCCCACAGTCTTTTGGGTTGGCGCCAGCATCGAAGCGTCATGTCTTCAGCTCAGACAATACTCCCTGTGGATCTGGTGGGACGAGTGCATCCCCAGACTGCCTGAACCAGGGTCCGCAGACCCATTCAGCAGCCTGTCCTGCGATGTCACCTGTCACTTTCACAAACTACCTGGGAAACTTATGAACTATTACAAAGTTGAACTTTTTTCTTTGGCATTAGCATCACCCAGGCAGGAAATTCGAAAGGCAGAGGTTCCCGAGAATAACCAGAGATCAACATTCAAAACACCATTGCATAACCAATTCAAACAAGAAGTGACACTTCTCCTTGTCTGAAAACGCTCACGGCTCCAAGCCTCTTTGGGGAGAAGAGGGCCCATCCCCATGCGAGTGCAGGCTTGTGGTACCCCACAGGCGTCCTGACCAGACCCTGAGGAGGTAAGAGCTGGTTGAGGAGGCTGGAAAGAGGGACAGTCATAAGCCAATGCAGAGAGCACCCTCCACTGGGCACGCCTGATCCCACGTAGTACACACTCACTTCACGCTTTCCTCTTGCTCCCCAAACTCCTCGTCATTGAAGCCGAAGTGGTCGATAAAGGCTGAGGTCATGCGCTGCATCTGAAAGTCCATGAAGGCCTGTAAGGGGCAGCAGTCAGGCTGAGTGGGCAGGCACATGGGCAGGCAGGCACCCCTCCAGCCCCAGCCCCAGCCCACCTGCTGGAGCACTGCCTCTTCTGGGAAGCTGAACTCCTTGAGCCGCTCATCCTCATCATCACTGGAGGAGTGTAGGTGTTGGGTGTTCACCTGGGGGCAAGAAACAAGCTCAGGGCCAACCAGGGGGTACAGGCAGGTGGCTCAGGTGTGGGAAGGCAGAGAACAGGTCTGGCACCGCAGGGAGATGGCCAATGGCTCACCAGGTCCACCGTGTTCTTCTTGTTGGTCTCTGCCAGTGGTCCTGACACGAAGGCCTCCCACTGCTCCTGCTGCTCTGCTGGCAGCTCTGCGTACAAGGACGGACAGGACATGAGGCAACTCTGAGGCCTGGCCCGGCCCTTGGGCGAGCCCCAGCCCTTACCCTTCATCAGCTGGCGCAGCTGCTCGGCGTTGGGGCCCTTCTCGGAATTCTGCATCAGGGCATTGGCCACTCTTGTCAGGTGGCCCATGTAGCCCTTCCGGGCGCCTCCCCCGGACCTGGTAGGAAGTGGAGGCTACAGATGGAGCCAGGCTGCTCCCCTTGCACCCCCGCTCCCCACCCACAGGAAGGCCTGCTGCTCACTGCACACGGTCGTTCTCCTCCCAGGCTGTCAGAATGCGCTCCACCAGGCGGCACTGCTGCAGCAGCTGTGGGCCAACAGGGCACATTGGGGCTGGCCATTCCAAGCATACAACCACCCTGTCACCCTCCATTGTGCATTGCCATGCCTCTGCCCACGGAGCTCACCTCAATATATAGAACCAACCCCCCAAATCACAAAATCCACCTCCCACTCTAGCAAGTGAAACTCCATCTCTGTTGAGCTCCTCCAAGATCCCATGCTCCCTCCAGGGGGCTCCCCCACCTTGGGACGTGAGCTCCTTCCTCACATGCCACCCTCACTTTCTCCCAGCAGCCACTTAAGGCTAGGCCCAGTGATGAGACCCAGCATCCAGCAGTCAGCCCCCAGAAAGCACTGTCTGTAAAATGGATGGCACCCAAGTCACGTTTCAGTCACAGGCTCACATGTTTGATGACAGGGTTTGCGGTGGGAGTGTCGGGGTCACCATCAGAAAGAGGCACGGTGCTCAACATGGCACTCACGCACATCTCCACTTGGGCATGCAGGAAGTTGTTGAATACATAGTGGAAGAAGAGGTCCTGCAAGAGAGTACAGGTGGCACCAAGAGGCCCACCCTATGCGCCCCCGCCACCTAGCCCCAGGCCAGTTCCCACTCCCCGCACCAGCACAGTGTTGGGCACGTCCAATGCCAGGAGCTCCTGGGTCAGGGCTTCATCATTGGCGCTCAGGGCACACGCCAGGAGCTTCACCACGTGCAGACGAGTGTTGCCCAGAGGAGGGGTCAGGCTGCCCCATGTTGTACACAGCGGCTCTAGCTGCAGGCACGAAGAGGGGAGGTTCTAGGTGCCCCTGGTAGTACCAGGACAGTGGGGTTTGTAGGGACCCCCTCCCTCCAACAGGCCCACCTCAGGGGGCTCGAGCAGGATCCGGTGGAAGCAACGGAGCCGAGGGCGCAGGGCATTCAGCGCGCCTGTGCAGGATGCAGTGTGGTCGAAGGTCGCCTGGGCGAGGAGTTCTAATTGCCCATCCACGCTGCTGAAGAAGTTGTTCATGGTCATCGACTCTGACCTGCAGTAGGACATGCGCACAGTAGGGAGGGAGAAGCTGTTCTCCAGGAGCGGAGACCTCTGAGGAGGGTCCCTGGACACTGGGACAAGGTGAACGTGGCTGACTCCACCAGGTTTTTCAGAATTGGTGTCAGATGACAAGTGTGCCATAGCCACTGTGAGAGAGACACCATGTGGGGAAGCCACACCCCTTGAGTGAAGGTAGGGCTCACCTTGGCCTCCGGGGCTCCAGCAGGGTGAGGAGCACCTGGACCCCACTCACAAGGACCGATGGGCTCTGCTCCCCTTCCAACATGTTGCTCAGGAGCTGCTCGATTGTCTCCTGCCTGGAGGATGAGGGGAGAGATAAGGGGGGAGGGCCCAGGCCCCAGGGACCCCAGGAAAGAGCTCCACCCTGCAAACCCACTTCTCTAGTGTGGCCAACAGCTGGTCAGGCTCTGAGGTCTCCTGGACTTGGATCATCTGCTCCCGGCTCAGGCGAATGATGTCACACAGGGACTGAGAAGCGTTGGAATGTTGCTGGGGCAGAGAAAGAAAGCTGAGGACCCTGGCCCACACCCTGGCATTGGAACCCCTCTCCCCAGACAGAAGAGGGAGATCATGACTCAAGGACACAGGAGCAGGGACACAAGGCACCCTCAGTGGAGTAGAAGATGGCAAAGAGAAGGGGAGCCCGGGGGCTTCCTGGAAAGGAGACCCCCACGGGGCCTGCCCTGTGCACAGATATACACACAACCAGTCTGTGAGAACAGCAGATGTGCCTGCCTACATCAGAGCATCAGCGAACACCCAAGCTTGGTGCGATGGTAGTGGCTTGTCACAGGACCCCCCGTAGAGGGTTCCTTTATACAGAATCCCTAGTAAAGATAACTCCACAGACAGCAGCAGAATGGAGTGTGCCAGGCCCTGGGGGGAAGGGGGCAGCGAGACCAGGCAGTGAGTGCTGGCAGGCTGGCCGCATCCTTTTAGAGCAATTAAAGTTGTCCCATGGGGACCCAAGTGCCTGACACTCCTCGCCCCTCTGCCTCAAAGATCTCAAATGCGCCCTTTCCTTCATGTCTCAAGGAGGCAGGCACAGGGTGTGGGGAGAGGATGCAGACAGCACTCACGTTGTCATCTCGGGATGGATGGATCTGCTCGATCAGCCGCTGCACGATCTTCTCCTCATTGAGCCACTGAGGAAGGGAGGTGGACCGGGTCACTGCCCTGGGCTTCTTGCAGCCCGCCCCATGGCCCGCAGCCCGCCCCACAGCCCCATCCTCACATTGACCACCTCCTGCCGCAACTGAGGCCGCTCCACGCAGGTAAGCAGGCGCAGCAGGAGGTCCATGATGGCTGAGGTGCCAATGTGCTGCAGCAGCAGGTCCACGAAGTCATCCTTCTTCCGCAAGAAGGACACGAGCTGGGAACAAGGCCTGTTAGAACACACGGAGCGGCCTGCACCCAGCAGCCCGGGGCCCTGGGGAGAGCAGGCACCTGGTCTGTCTTGCGGTTGATGAGGGTGCCCATGACCTTGCTGAAGAAGCTGGCCAGCAGCGGGTTGAGGCTGTCACTGCTCTGCAGGAAGCCGTAAAGCCGGTTCAGGAGGGCCTCATCTGCACCCAGGGCATCATTGATCTGTGGCACATCTGAAGTCAGGATCTCACAAGCCACGCTGGGGTACCTAGGAGACCAGAAGGGAAGGGCTGTCACCCCCAGAAGAGGCAGGGGGCATGGAATGTGGCTCAGAACTGGATCCCATCCAGTACCTGTCCCACCCCTAGCATCATTAAGGATTTCCATGGCAGCCACCTAGCCAGAATCCACCAAGTCTTCTCAGAGTGGGACACCCCAGACAGCAGAAGAGGGCCAGGGGAACATCAGAAGTCAGCAAAGGAGAAAGAAAACTAATGGAAGACACTGATGGAAAGGTGTCTAGATAGATGGACATCAGGGGACAGAGTCCAAAATGAAGACTCACTGTACCCAGTTGCTGGTATGTCCTTGAGTGAATCCCATTTTACAAATGGCAAAATGAGGAGCAGGCCTCACCAAGCCCAGTTAAACTCAAGGTACCCCAGAAAGCACAAGGCACTTCAGTGTGAGGGGGTACGAGGAAGGAGGGAGTCACCAGGACAGGCAATTCAGGGCCAGTATTGGAGTAAAATCCTGTGGTCAGTCCCAAAGGGCAGTCAGGGACAGGGACTGTTCTCAGTTATAGAGGAGCCTCTCCTCACCACTAGCTGGGGACTCCTGCGTGACCCAGGACCATATTTTTCTCCCTGGTACACCCAGTCCAAGGAATGCTGAGAGTAGGCAGAGAGGACAGCTGTGCCCTCAGTGTCTGGTGCCACAGCAATGAGTATGCCAGTCAGGGTCCAAAAACAAAGGTTTTACCAGAAAATGGCAGACAAACACCTGTCTAGAACCAGGGGATTCCCAGTAAACCACCCCAAGGCCTCTCACCCAAACTGCTTTCCAAAGCTAGAACACCAGGGCCAGAGAGAGAACTCAAAGGCATTGCATACAGGAACCCCTGGGCTCAAATGGTGACACCCTGGTCCCAAGCACCGAGCCTTGAGTAACCCCCAGTATCACCAGGTGTGGTCCAAAAGACTTGGGGGAAAAGCAGAATGAGAGCAACTGGCCTGTGTGGGTTTGCCAGGGGAGGAAACTGCCTTGGCAGCCTCAACCCATAGGGCTGGTGAAAGTGCTCTAAGTGGGTGCCTCGCTACAGGGCAGTCAGGGACAGGGACTGTTCTCACTTGTAGCGGAGCCTCTCCTCGCCACTGGCTGGGGGTTCCTGCGTGACCCAGGCCACCATGGTCTGCAGGTGTGGCGGCTGCAGCAGGAAGTCCAGCAGCTTGTGGTTGACAACCTTGCACTCCTGCAGCACGTCCTCCTCGTCCAGCAGCTCAGGCAGGCTCAGGTCCTCCCGCTCCAGCAGCGTGTCCAGGTGCGAGCTTGTGTGCAGGTCAAACTTCCAAAACATGGCGCCCTGGGAGCACAAGGCTGTCTGGCCCCAGATCTGCTTTCTCCCCCATCTCAACCTCGGCCTTTTACCCACCTTACAGAATCATCTAAGAGGAAAATTTACCCCTATGGCCTACTGTCCAGCAAACCCCAAGATGACCTGTGTGTGGATGGGAGCGCCCTAACACTGAACAGTGACTCAGTCCTGGTTCCACATCTGGCCAGGCCCTGGGCCTGCCAGCCTGTTCAATCACCCCGCCATGTGCAAGGCGGTGGTGGGCAGAGGAAGTCTGCTGTAACTCCAGGCTGTGGCCGTTGCCTGGACGCCACTTACACATGAACACAAACATAACCCCACCTTCTCTCCCCAGCCAGCACCAGTTCAGGGAAGAGGACAAAGCCCATCCCCCTGAGTTGCCTTCCGTCACCTGCAAGTTGGCACCCCGGCTCCTCACTGGCACCAAACCCCACACAATGCTGTGGTGCCCCCTCCTACAAACTCGCAGCTCCCGCCAATAGTACCGGCTCTGGTCACCCTGCCACACACACTCAGCCTGGGCACCTCAGAGCCAGAGACAGAGGTGACTGTGGTGGAAGTAAACTGGGACACGCTCCTGGGCCTCTTCCAAACATGCGAAGACCCATCCTCTACTGAGTGCACCCTCCTGCCACCATGCAGGGAGCAGCTGGCCACTACCAGGGCGGCCTCCCTTGTCACTGCAGGTGAGCCTATGGTCAGGGTGGCCAACCTCAGAGGGGTGGCTGGGAGGATACCTCCCTGGGCTGCACGGAGCCCAACCTCCATCCCTCTCAGGCAACTGCGACAACCAGGAGCAAAACCCATGCCTGCCACCACATCCTAGAAAGGCTCCCTCCTCTCCACATTCAGAACCAACTCCAGTGTCCCTGTCTGCCCACTGCAGCCTCCCTGCTCCCGCCTCATGCTCCAGACCAGCACCAGCACTGCTATCTCCAGGGCACACCACACCCAAACCCCGTACAGGAGGGCGATGCCTCCAAACTGAATAGGGGTGATCCCCAAATAGCATTCCAGACACACCTGGTCCCTAAGAGTGTCCACACTCTTTTCTGGACCACAAAGCCATAACCGCCCACAGGATACCAGCCCACCACACAGCCAAAGAAACTAAGGAGCACGGAGGAAACTGTCCTTCCCTCTGCAATCTATGTGGGGTTGGGAGTCAAGCCCACTAACCACCCATCAACCCAGCAGAACCTTCCTATCCTTGCGCCAAGTGCAGTACTTTACTCGGCAGACACTTCTGAGCTGCGGGAGGCAGGCTGCACCCAGGACCAGATCACAACCCATAACTGTCTGTCCCTAACCTAACTAAAACCCAGTCCTTTCTCCTGACTGCAGGCCAGTCCCCCAGCAGGGCCCCAGTCTCTCCCCTTTCCATTTCACAGGCAACCAGTCTGATTCCAAGTCACACGCAGTCCTATGCACAGGGCCCAGTGGCCTCCTGATCACCTTGAGCCCCCTCAGGTCTGCTCTGCAACTCCATCGCTTTCATACCCCAGGCCAGCTTCGTGTCTTCAGAGTTCCCTGGCCTGGATGTTCCCAAAACTGGCTCCTTCTCAACCTCTCATCTGCTGCCAAGCATCCATCTCCCAGAGCAGTCTCCAAGCCCACCCTCATCCACTGGTTCTATGTGTCATGCACTCAGGACACACATACAGAACAAGTGCCTGCACTGGAGGCAGGACAGACAGAACCTTCCTTAATAGGGTGCTGTGAGTACCTGGCACAGAGGCTGGCACAAGTACACAGATTTCAGCAGCAAGACATTTGCCTGCAGACCCCATCTCCTCAGGCCCCGCAACCCTTCAGGGGAAAGAGCTGACAGGCCTGCCAGGGCACCCCTCACCCCACACCTAGGGCCCCTACACCAGGCAGATGGGTCTCGGAGGAGAGCGAGGAGAGCCTGATCTGACTACATGTGCTGGTATGACTGCTGCTATCAGAGAAAATCAAGCAGTTCCCTCTATAGAGCCCAGGTGCCCCCTTTCTCTTTCTGCCCAGACCCTAGACCCTGGAGGGATACCACTCACCGTTCTCTTGAAGAGACACATCTAGGAGTGGGGCCAAGTGAGAAAGTCAAGGTTGCAAAGACGACTCATGGGCCTGGGGGCAGAGGGATTGTGGGTGTGCTCTTGATCCGGGTGGACCAGGGACTAGCTTTCCCCTGACCTACCTCTCCATGGCAGACACAAACAGCCACCAGAGCTGGTGAATGAAACCAGTGACCGAGGAGCACAGTCTGACTACGTTTGTACAAAATGGACTAAGAGGCAAATCCTCAGAGACAGAAAGTAGATTTGTGGCTCCCAGGAGCTAGAGTCGGGTAGGGGAGTGGCTGCAGACGGCACAGGCATTCCTTTCAGGAAAGGGCACACACAAACACACACCAAAAAAATTCTAAAATCAATAGTAAACGATTTTGTCAATTATACCTCAATTAAAACAGCCTATTGTGATGGTTGCCCAAAGCTGAAGGTGTACTAGAACCACTGAACTGTGCACTTTAAATGCATGAAATGCACTGAGTATAAATTTTATCTCAACAAAAACCGTTACCAAAAACAAAACCAGAGGCCGCCCTGACAGGACCCTGTTCGGCGTCCAAGTCACCCCAAGTCACCCCAAGCTGACAGGATGCCAGCTGCCTGCAGAGCTGAAGCACGTGAAGGCTCCGCCCTGGAGAGCACACCCAGGTTCCCCCTCCCTGGTACTAGCATATTCCCCACACAGCTCGGGCATCCCCACCGTCTGGGGACAGAGGGAAGCCACTCGACAGAGGCCTGTGGAGTCCACACTGTAGGGCACCCCATCTCCTCGCACAGCGAGACAAGGGAGAGCAGACCTAGCACAGAACACACCACAGGGCCTGCTGTCTGGATGCCAGGTGAAAGCAACTCTCACAGCTGATGCCCAAACACTCCGAAGGCCCTGGTTAGAGGGCACAGCGACACCCCCACCACAAAACCCCAGATGCCCCCACGATGACCCAATATACTCCAGACAGCAGGTCCAACAGAATTCCTGCCAAAGCCTTACAGAGAAGCAGGGTGTGATGGGCAGGGTTAAGGAAAGTATAGGGGGTGGAGTCCAGGGGCCTCAGTACCTTGAATAGCACCTCCTACCCCCCAGAAGAGGCTGCCAGGATCAAAAGCCACTGAGCATTGGCAGGTATCTTACAAGCATCACTTTGCAAAGAACTCAAAAGAGCAAAGACACAAATACAGAAAAAAAAATGCAAGAAACTACAAAAAGGGAAAAAACCCTTTCCTGCCAGACTCAATTCACTCCAGCCTCAAGCCCTTTCTACACTTCGGTTGGAAACTGTCAGGAGCTTTGGGAATCAGATAGAAAAGTGGTTGTCCTCTTTCAGTGGGGGGGTGAACCAGGGTCCAAGCACTTGGAACCCCAGGGTCCTAGCCAGGAAATGGGGCATGGCACTGGCAAGAAGAGGACACATGTGAGAAGATGGGTAGGGAGGAATCAAGTCAGCAGATGGTGGCGGGTATGACCCCCCTCGGTCTGTCCTTGAGGCCTGAGGTCAGCCTAGGTACCTCTAGGCAGGAGAGAAGGGGCCAGCTAAAATTTAGGCTGGCCTAAAATCTGGGCACCTCCAGGTAGGAGGGAAAGGGCAAGTAACCACCCCCCCATGTGCCCCAAGAGACTCAGGTTACTCAAGTACTCTGACATACACTTGCCACCCCCACGCTTTGCAACTTTAGCAAACTTCAAGAAAACGGAAGTGACTACCACTGGTTTTAGCAACAGTTTGAAAACCATGACTGGCTGCAAACGGAAGAAGGGGAAACTGTAATGAGAAAGGAAGCCATTAGAAATGAAAACTACCTCTGGCCTAGCCAGCTCCACACCACCATTTGGTTTCTTGCTGAGCTGCTCTGCGCTGCTCCTCAGGAGACTGCCAGCCCTTGCTCCCGCCTGAGCGCAGATTGGGCCTGACTGCACCGCCCCCATAGCCATCCCCAGTGTTGCTGCCACTGCCACCAGCAGTCCAAACACAGCTCCACTGCCAGAGAGCCTGTGGGCCAATCCTTTATGCCTGCCCCAGCCCTGAAGAACCCGGAAGAGAAGGTCAAGGGTGCAGAGGCCTCTGGGAGACTCCAGTGTCAGGCCTGTTGACCACTTTCACCCACAGTCAAGAGTTCACTCACCATTCTTATGAGACACAGGAGAGAGAAAGCTCTGGACAGGGCAGAACCCACAGAGAACTGGTCATTGGTTGGGTCAAAGGATTGTGAGGCCCCCTTCCTCTAACACCCCCAGCATCTGCATTACTGACCCGGACACAGATGAACACAGGAAGGGGTAGGAACGTCCAATCCTAAGTGTTAAGGATCAGACACCAGACAATAGTAGCCGCAGAACTCTGTCCCTATGCCAGCTGTAGAACTAAGCACAACCCTGGCAAGGTAGGGAACTGGAAACCTGCTTGGGAGAAGAGTTGGCCAAGGCCACAAAAGGGAGGTACTGGAGCTTTCCCATGGCTCAGGAAAGATTGTAGGGGGAGGGAGTTCCAATTAGGGGACACCCCAGGCACCTCCTGGGGGGCAAGGGCTGGCAGCTCTGGTTCTAGTTCAGGGCCAGGCGTAATGAAGAGCAGAAGAGACTTGGGACATGGTCAAGAACTCCTGGAGGAGGAGTCTGGGCTTAAATGCTCATGGTTCAGGATCAATCATGATTTAAAGGAAAAAAGTTAAAGAGCTAAAAGGCATTTCAAAACAGAGGCAGTTCTGGTGTGATCTTAAGTCAGAAGGGCCTGGTGCCCACACTGAGCCTGGGCTCACCTGAGGTACCTCATGGTTGTATAAGATAGTACTTCCTGCAAACAGATCTGGGCCTGGAACAGAGGCTCCAGTTCCAGAAAGGAGGGATGTCCCCACCCAGGAGGGGGGCCTGCAGGAGCCTGGCCAGTCAACAGGGCTTCTCCCTCTCACCTCAACTTCTACCCTTGCTGCAATCCACATGGCACACAACACTCCACCGCACCTGCCCTCGCCTCTGCCCTCCCTCCCGCTAAGTCTGACTAGCTCCTCCTAGGTCCCTCAGACTTCAGTGCAGACACCACTTCCTCCAGCAAGCCTGCCCGCCTATGTCAGAGGACTGCTCCCTTGCTTCCACAGCTTCCTTCACCCCATCACAGTAGAGGGAGCTTGTAGCGGGATCTGACCCTCTTGTCACCTGCCTCCACTGGATCTAACTAAGGCCAGATCTTGGGCAAGGGACTTGTTGAATTAGGAAAGCGAAAGCTCAGAGCAATACAGTGACTGCTCAGATACTAACCATACATGAAGGGGGGAGAGTGGGACAGAGGCCTGAGTTTCCCCCAGTGGGAAAAATGGACAGCCCAGCAAAAGCTAACACCAGAAGGACAAAGGAACTCCAAGGGCAGGAACGCAGAGCTCAGGGGCAGCCTCAGAGCAGACCAGGCCCAGCCATGCCAACTACCCAAACGAGCCTTCCTCTGAAGTAGGCACCTCCCAACACGGGGCCATAAGGGGCCATCCCAAGTGGCCGCCCAGTTGACAACCATTTGGGGGTTGGTCTCTCATCACTGCCAAACATCTCCCAGGAAACAGTTGCCCTCCTGACCCACAGCAACAAGTAATCTCGACCCTAACAATATTCCTAAAAGGAGCAGATCCGGGAGCACTTCTGGTGTCTCGCATCGTGCAGTGGGTGGGCTCACAAACAGCTGTTGGGGTGCCCCCCTTATCCCCCCAGAACCACACAGACCACACCTCCCCTCCAGCAACACCAATGGTGCCAGTCAGGCAGCTGCACACACGAGCTGAAGCAGGCACTCCACAAGGCCCAGGTCAGCGCCCCCAGTCCACCTGACCACCCCCTCAGCGAGCACATGGTCAGGACCCCAAGTTTCTTCCACTCTCACCTGTCACCCCCACTGTCCGTCCCAGACAGTCACTCGCCCGGCAGGTCCCCCCAGGTCCCCCAGACCCAGTCCTGGTCCTCTGGGGCAGCCCTAGCCAGGCTCACTGTCACATTGCTGCCTGCTGTAGCAGCCTCGCAGAGGCGCACCCCCATGCACAGACCCTGGACTAACGTGGGGAGCCCAGGGGGACAGGGAGTGTCCAGGGCAAGGGACAGAGGAGGGCCTGGTGGGGTAAACAAGGGTGTGGGAGCCACTGGGGGCCCACGGTGTGGGGGTACGAGGCCAAAGGGAAGGGGAAGGAGAAAGGGAGGCGGCTGGGGGGCAGGGTTGGGGGGCCAGGGGTGAGAGGGGGGAGTTGGGGGTCCCGAGAAGCGGGGGTCCCCAAAGGGCGAGAGTGAAGGCAGGAGGTGGGGGCCCTGGAGCGGGGTGAGGATGAGGGAGGTCTGGGGGTCCCAGGGGGACAGGGGTAAGGGCAGGGGACGGAGTTCCGGCGGGGAAGCGGTGAAAGTGGTGCGGAGGGCGGCGGGGAGACAGGATGGCGGAGGGAGAAGAGTAAGAAACTTGGGGTGCCAAGGGGGAGAGCACTGAGAGCCGGGGAGGAGGAGTGGGCGAGAGGGAAACCACGTGAGTTGACTGAGGATCTTGAAGGGGAAAGAGACTGAGAGTGGGGGGCGGCAGCGAGTAAAGTCAAAAGTCTGGGGGAGCGGACGGGACGACGAAGGAGCCGGGGGACACCGAGGGGACTGAGACGAAAGTGGGGAGCCCCCCGGGCGAGGGCAAGGTCCAAAGGCGAAAGAGCTGAGGCAACGCGAGGGGTCCGCGGCTCTCACCTGCGCAGGGGGGCGGCGGTTCCTCGCACACGGGGCTCATCGGGGCGCCACCCCCCGCCCAGCCGCCGGCGGCTCCGGCCCTCCTCAGGGGCCCGGTACGCGGGGGCAGCGGCGGCGTCGGGGCTCAGGCTGTCGGGTCCGTGGGGGTCCGTCCCCGCGCGCCGGACGGAGCTGAGGAGCGCGGGCCCTCGGCGGGGACGCCCCGCGGCCAGCCCGGAGCGCCCGGGGCAGGCGTTCGCCTCCGCAGCACCGGCGAGCAGCGGCCGACGGACGCCGAACACACGTTGCCGCCTCTCGCCCCGACGCGCGCGGGACGCGGCGCTCCAGTCGCCTAAGGGACTCCACCGCCCGGCCCCGTCGCCACGATCCCACAATCCTCTGGGCGCCCGGCGCGCCGGAGTCCCGCCCTCCCGCCTCCCGCGGCTCCACGGTGCGCCTGCGCGCCCGCCGGAGGCTCCGCGACGCGCCCGCCGGAGCCACGCCCCACCCGGGCTCCTGTGCTGACCCGCGCCAACGGCCTCTCCCGGGGACGCCAGCCCAGCCAGTGCGCAGGCGCCGCTGCGCCCCGCTCGCCCTGCTCCGACACCGCTCCGGACGCCCCGAGCCATGTCCAGGAGTCCCTTTCCTCTCTGCTGGCCGACCCCGCGGCCGGGCCTTCTCTCCAGCCCAGCCTGGCCGTCGAGGTGTTCTGATCGCCAGTGAGAACTTCATCCCACTTCCAGGACCGGGCACGGGCTTGGACCTCACCATAGCCAGTTGCTACACAGTATCCGACAATGGCTACGAGGGTCCTGCCCCCCACTTTGGGTCAACATCTGTTAAGCGCCCCCATGGCTCTGAACCTCAGTTTCCCCCATCTTCCCAAGCAATTGTAGGGAGTGACTTTTTTTTTTTAACCTGAAGATCTGGCTTCTTCACTTCAGGGACTCCTGTTTGAGTACCTTCTCGGCTGCCAGTTCTTTCCCGCCCCTCACTTGCAGGCTTCGCTTATGGTCTTGGTCTGTGTCACTGCTACACATGTCCGTGATGCACATAATTCAAGTACCAGGTGCCTTGACAGTGTGTGGGTTCTGGCTCCAGCTATGCCTGTGCTCCAGCTCCAGAGGATATATGCCAACAGGTGTGGCACACAGTGTGACCTCCTGGCCCAGGGAGGCATGGAATTCCCAGGATGGGCTGTGCTAGAGAGCAGCCCATAATGAAAGGCAGAAGCCTAATTGGATCAAGCCCAGCTGGATCAAGCCTGGCTCAAGATCTTGTCCCGCTGTGTTTATCCATGTGCTCAGGGGCCAGCCTCACCCAGGAAACCCAAGTTCCAGGCCTCATTGGGCTGCACTGCACTCTGTGGTGCAGAGTGCGAGGAGCACAGAATCCGATGAAGCTTCTTTTTTCTTAGGTCCTCGGTTTGCTCCCTTAACACGGCCATCTTACCCTCCAGCTTTGAGGTCTGCTCTCTGAAAAAGATTCAGGTTCCTGTTGTCCTGGAGCCGAGAGCAGCAGGTTAGCCTTCGCTGTTGTTCCTGAGTCTTCTTCCTTCTCCCCAGCATTTTGCTACCTGGCTTAATGCTACAGGTCTGGCCAAAGGGGCTGGGCGTTCCAACAAAAGTCAGGGACAGGCGGTGGAGGGCAGTGAGGTATTTAGGTGTTAAGCCCAGTTCCCTAACCTTGTGAGGTCTTAGTGATGCGATCCCTGGTGCAATCTCGCTATCCACATCCCGCGGCACAGGGAGGAGCTGAGGTCTCCCAATGGACCAGCCTCAGCCTTGCAGTTCCCCTTCCCCCACCCTCTGACCGGCTGTAATGCTGCAGCAGCACTGGAGAGCACCCGCTAATATGGGAAAGGAACACGGAGAAGAGGGAGGGGTGCAGCTCTGAGCAGGCCTAATAGGGGGTTCCACTACTACGCCTCCCACCTCCAAACAGCAGTAACATTTTCTCCCCAATTTCCAGATTCGGCTGGCACCTTCCATGAGTCCTCAATCTGGGGGAAAGGGCAAAATGAATAGGTCCCCAAATCAGAAGAGCTCGGGCTAGTGAGTTCTAAGTCCTGAAACCACAGAAAATCAAGTACCTACCCCGAGGATGAGTGGGAAACCGAGGGATGGGGAGGAGGAGGGGGACTGGCGGTGTCAGAGCGGATTAACACACTCAACCTTTCAACGAAACTGAAAAAGAACGGACCTGAGGCAGTGTCCCCCGGAACCCCAGTCTCTGGGGCAGCTGGAGTGGCGGCTTACTGCTTTGCATTCTGGGTCCTCGGGGCTGCCCAGGAGACAGCAGCCTGCTCCGGCCTCTGTCGCCACTGCCGGAACCTGGGAACATGGCGGAAGGACCGCACTCCGCACTTCCCGCCTTCTTCCCAACAGGCGCCCTCGGCCGCAGGCGGACGCTCATTGGTCCTCCCGGGTCACGTGAGACGTCAGCAAGGGCCGCAGAGCAAAGGCCTGTGGCCTAACGACGCCGCGGAGGATTCTGCCGAGGTGGCTCGGGTCGCAGGCAGCACAGCAAGGGCTGCCGGGAAAAGCTACGCCCCCACCTGCTGCTCTTCAGGGAGCTGCCCCGAGGCAGGTGGTCGGCATTTGCGAGGCTGATGAACGGACACAATGGCTTTGCCTGGTAAGTAGCAACACTTTATTATTCCCGTGTTTCCCCCAGTGGCCCTAGGTCCCTAAGGTCGTGCCCCCTCCCATCCCCAGGCGGGGAGGTCTGTGGGGGAATGACAGGAAAAACGCTCTTTATTGGAAGTATGGTGTGGACACAAGGAAGTGGAATGGGAGAACGGTGGCATCCGCGAAGCCCACGCCCTCCTCAGAGCCCCTGGTGTGGGGGGGGTGCTACCCGCCACCCGTGGTGTGCGGCCCGCCCCACGCCCACAGTCCCGGCTCTCCCTAGGAGAGGGCCTTGCGGGTGGGGAGGGTGGCTGCAGGCCCGGGGTTCCCACGAAGCGGGGCTGAGGCGCGCTGGTCTCACCGGTCCATGCTGTCATCAGTCGGGCTGGAGAAACAGGTCTGCAGCAGCTTCTCACAGAATTCCAGCTCCTCCTAGGTGGGGGCACAAGCCCTGAGGTCAGGGCCAGCTCCTGGTTCGCCCTGCCCCACCCCTGCCTTGGAGCTGGCTTCAGTCCATGGCTCACAGCCTCTCTTAACCTGCCACAGGGCTAGAACCAGGGACTCCAAGTCTTGGGTCCTCATCTAACTCCAAAGAAGTCAACTGCAGCTTGCACCTGCCTAAAAACTCTTCTGTGGAAACCGGAGAAACCACAGAAAGTGATGCTAGGTTAGACTGCAAAACTTGCTGATATGCTAGGAACAGCAATAAGAGAAACACAAGGGGCCAGAGATAAGGTGCAGTGGGCAGGGCACGTGGCAGACCCAGGTTCCATACCCAGTACCACAGATGGTTTTCCCACCTCCCCAGGAGTGATCTCTGAGCCCAGGTGTGGCCTCGTTTCACCAAAAAAAGAAAAGGTCAACTGCAGGAGCCTGGAAGAGGGCTCAAAGGTCTAGAGTGCATACAGAGAGGCTCCTGGGTTCGATTCCTGACACCACGGGGCAGCCCTGGAGGCTCCCAGCACTGCTAGGCCAAGTATAGCCAGAAAAGATCCCAGGGTCCCTTGAGCACTAAGAGGCCAAAAAAATCAAGGAGTAAAAAAATCAAAAGAGGGCCAGAGAGATGATACAGGGATTAAGGCATATTCCTTGCATGCACCCAGCATCACTCACTCCCCTGGTAGCTGTGGCTCCAGAGGTTCTTCAGGCACTGCTGAGGTGGGCCCTGGCATCCTTCGCCCTAGCATCAAGCCAGCAAGGTTGGCCAAGAATGCCTGGGAGGGCACCCCTTCACCCCAAAAAGTAATTGGAAGATCGGGTCTGGAGCTATAGTACAGCGGGTAGGGCATTTGCCTTCCATGTGGCCAACTTAGGGTCGATCCCCGGCATCCCATATGGTCCCCAAGCACCGCCAGGAGTAACCCCTGTACATCGCCGGATGTGACCCAAAAAGCAAATAAATAAATTTAATTTTTTAAAAAATGTAATTAGAAGACCAAGAGACAGACCAAAAGGCTGTGTGGAAGGCCCAGCTTTCATCCCAGTACTGTACAGCACCCCAATGCTGCCAGTAAAAACCCCTGAGCACTGCCAGATATGTCCCCCACACCAGAGAAAAAGTCAAAAAGAGACAGCTCAGAGTCCTAGGCACTGGCTATGCATGTGGAAATCCCAGGTCCAGCACACAACATCACCCAAGCACCTCCAGGATCAACCACTTAGAGCAGTGATATGGAAGTAGCCCACAGCTCACCAAGTTATAGCCCCCAAACAAATCCCACTAGTAACACCACCACCCAATATATAAATGGGCAAAGATAACGTACAAGAAAAAGATGGTTAATCTTGCACACCGGAAAAAAATAAAAGAATTGACTAACTTGAAAGAAGCATAAGGTCAGGGCCAGAGTGATAGTGCAGCAAGTAGGGCACTTGCCTTGCACACAGCTGACCCAGGTTCAATTCCCGGCATCCCATATGGTCCCCCAGGAGTAGTATATTCCTGAGCATAGAGCCAGGAATAGCTCCTGAGCATTGTTGGGTGTGACCCAAAACACCCAAAAAAAAAAATGCACAAAAGGTAGAGTTGACTATGAGCAGAGAGGGAAAACCACCTCCTCCATCAGGAGGAGCCCTTATGTGGGAGAGGTAACCCCTGCCAGAAAGATGAAATGCCAGAGACAACCATGCCAGCGCCCTCAGAGACTCAGAGAGGAGTTCAGCAAAGAGCAGGCACTGGCCAGAGGCTGGTTTTGTACAAAAATGACAGAGGAAGAGGGGTTTTACAGGTTTGCTTGTCTGCACAAGAATATCTTAGGAAGGTCACTAACATCTTAGGGTGAGCCTGTCACCCTACAAGCCCCAGCAAGTGACAGATGGAACAATGCAGGTTTCTTCGGCTAACTACTGGCCACACACAGCACACAGGTCCTTGTTACTGCAGGCCAACTACAGTTCAACACAAGGAACGCCCTGCCCTGGCTGGCTCTGTACTCAGAACACCATGGTCCCCGCAGCACCACCACCAGATATGGCTCAAACACGGGAAACAACTAAGGGTCCCCACAGCTAGACCGGATGGTGCCTGGGAGCTCATGTGCTTCTGGGGTTGGGGGGGGCACAGAGTCCAGGACTGCTCCCTGGCTCTCCAGCTAAGCCATGGCCCCACCCACTAACAGCTTTCTGAAAGGAAAAAGGAGCAGTGCTCCATTCACATGAAGCCTCAGGCTTGGTGCCAGGATCTGCACCGGACACAACATTGCAAGGAGTGACTGATACCCCTCCTACACACACACACACACACACACACACACACACACACACACACCCGTGCACACATATACACACATGCGCGTGCGCGCACACACACACACACACATTCACTGTCCTCCCATTGTTCATCGATTTGATCAAGCGGGCCCAGGAACATCTCCATTGTGACACTTTTTACTGTGTTCAGCATATCAAATACGTCACGGATAGCTTGCCAGGCTTTGCCATGCGGGCGAGATACTCTCAGTAGCTTGCCGGGCTCTCCGAGTGAGGCAGAGGAATCGAACTTGGGTCAGCCATTTCGGCTACATGCAAGGCAAACGCCCTACCCACTGTGCTATAGCTCCAGCCCACACACACATTATCTCCAAGCATTCCCGAGTCAAAGAGAGGGACCTCTGGGGAACAGGCACAAGACCCCACCTGGCACCTCTGCTTTTTACCCCCAGTACCTCTGAGGGCAAAAAAACAGCTATCCCATCCCAGTTGGAACATGCCCGTGGCTGTGCCAGGGCACCAACATCTAGACATGACTTCCAGAGCGAATAAATTGCTTATAATCAGTTAACCAAATCACCTGGCCGTTTAAATACTTCCTAACGATCTGAGCATTTAATTGTCACTTATTTGTGACTTAACTATATAATTAAACACCTAATGAGTTGTTACTTAACTAGGAGTTGGTATCATGTATTGCTACTTAAATACTTAATCACATGTTGTCGCTTAAATATTGAACTGGGTGCTGTTTGCTGTTCGCTAGTTACCAGCCTAATAGCAAATAATTCAGTGTGATGCAAATCCTTAGATGAAAACGGTGGATCACTCAGTGACTGAGCCCCAATACTTCGAGCTTTTCTCTCTGTCCCACCCAAGGCACAGCCAGAGGGAGGAGGGGAGGGGGGAAGAGATGGCACAGACTTTTGAGCAGGCAGTTTGCTGTCTGTCATCTTCACCATCACCATAAGGACACAAACTTGCTGGGACAATCCCTGAAACATGTTACAGGGTCGCTGGCATCTCTAACCAGTTGCTGCTCAGACCATCATTACAGCTGGTCATTATTAAAGACAGATCTGGGGACCAGAGCCATAGTACAGTGGGAAGGGCACTTGCCTTGCACATGGCCCACCAGGGTTCCATCCCTGGTATCCTATATGGTCCCCCAAGCACTATTAGTAGTAATTCCTAAGTGCAGAGCCAGAAATAACCGTGAGCATCACCATCTATGGCCCCAAAACCAAATTAATAATAAAAAAGAGAGAACATTTGTATGCATGCCCTGAATGGAACAGATCCCACCCACCTGGTATTCGTCGCGCTGCTGTAAGAGCTGGCAGCGATGGCGCAGGAGCTCCTCCAGGCCTAGCTCGGGCTCCCGGCACTCTCGCACACCCTGTGGGAAGTCTGTCACCAGGCTGCAAGGACAGGAGAGCAATACTTAGCCACCCTAGTGCCACTGCTCTCCACATGGTTTCCCCCAGGAGGCCCATTGACACTGACCAGTGCCAGCTGCCCAGCCAGCTCCATACACAGCTGCCACCCATTTTGCCAGGTTTAATACCATCTCCATGTCTGTGTGTATTGGAGGGGCGATGTGAAAAGGACCCCATGCTCCCCAGAACCCCACACTGCCGCCCAGACCCCAGCGCACCTGCATAGGGCTCCGAGCACATACTCATGGAAGGGGCTGTGCTCTGTCCGCACTAAAGCCACCAGTTGCTGGACCATGCCCATGGCACACAGGGTCCCTGCGGAGAGGCTCAGTGTGAGGGCTCAGCCCTCTCCAGGGCCCAGCCCCGTCAGCCTCCCCTTACTGCCCGGCCCCACCTTTGTGTTCAGGGTGGCCAACCAGCAAGTTCTGGAGCAGGAAGGCTGACTTGACCTTGAGCTTCTGCACCTGCTGCTGCATGGCCCGCATCAGCACGGAGAAGCCGTCCAGCCGGAGAAACTGCAGCAGCCCTGCCTCCTGCTCCCGCACCAGGCCTGGGGGGCAGGCTGTGGTCAGGCTCCTCCCGTCCACCCCACGCTCAGTCTAGGCTCCCCTCCGAGTCTGGAGCCCGCAGAGGGCAGCGGCACTCACAGGAGATGGCAAAGAGGGCCTTGACGCGTACAGAGTCACAGGCGTCTCGGTCCAGCAGCCGCAGAAGCTTGCGCAGTGCACCGAGGCCCAGCACCTGCTCCTGGATGGCCGCCACGTTCTGGCTGCACGTGCCGATGAGCTGAGCTGCCCGCCAGCGCAGCCCTGCCACGCCTGCCTCCAGGTAGCGGCCCACCAGCAGGTGCATGCCCGACAGCTGGCAGAAGTCTGCAGGCAGGACAGTAGGGCTGCAATCAGTGCAGGGCCACGCCTGTGTGGAGGTACCCAAACTACTGAAGAACACAGAGGACTGGGCAGCCACGACCACAGAGCGCCCGGCCCGAACCCCTCCCCAGACTCCGCAGCAGCAGCCATCTGGCAGTCTGGCTCCCAGAGCAGCAGAATACGGTACTGCGAGAGAGGCCCATGCCAGCCAAGGGGCCCAACCCTAGCTATAGGTGACAGGCAAAAGGCAAGTCACAGGTGAGAAGCCCTGCTGAGACCCAGAGCCTGGACATGGCTTGTCACTGTGGCACCAACCACAGGGTCTAAACACCCCTGACATCAGGGCCACAACCCGCCTAAGACAGCCCCCACAGGAAACAGGTGAGCTTTTCTGCTCATTTGCCCTAAGACCTACACTCAGACCACCTCAGGAGGGCCCAGCCCCACAGCCCACATGGCCCAGCGTCAGCTGCTCCTGCCCTGGGAAATGGCTGTGCGTCCCCAGAGCACAAGGGTGAAAGTGCCCATTGGGGCTCCAGTGACAAGGGGACAGAACAGGGCACAACCAGGCCATCCCCCAGGGCCTGGACGCAGAGAGGCTGGCAGAAGAGCGGCACGTTGGCAGGGGCGATGGGGTGGCGGGCAGCACCTGTCGCATTGTCCATGTTCTCACACAGGTCAGCCAGCAGTTCCAGGGCTCCCTCACGTTCCTGCTGGTCGGAGGCCAGCTCGGCTTCACTGGACGTAGATGGCATGGGCTGGGACAGCACCCGAAGGCACTTCTTCATCTGCTCCACCTCTTCCTGCTGGCCCCGGAAGGCAGCTGACATGGCCTCCTGCAGCCACTGGCGCCGCTGCAGAAAGAAGTGACTGCATCACACAGCCCACGGCTAGGGCCCCAGCACTAGATCCGGCTTATTACCCACTCTCCTTCCTCACCACCAGGACCCAGCCAGCAGGCAGGGAAGCCTGCCTGGGGTAGGGGGCGAGGTGCCAGCACTCTGCTGGGGAGCACAACAAGCAAAGAAGCTTGGGGTCACAGCCAGTGGATGAAGCACTTGCTGGCATCCGACAGACCGGTCTCTGGTATCCAGAGTACTGCAAAGCCTAAGGTAGGGCCCCAACACTGACCCCAGAAAATAAAAACTTAAGCCAGGCAATGTGATGATGCAACCAGGTAGGGGGCTGGGGGAGGTTGTAGGCTACATGCAGTGCAGGTTTGAAATTTCACATGGAAGCAAAAGACCCAGCTCACTTCATGGGGGGCAGGCTAGGGAAGAAGAGTGGGCTGGTTTTGAAGAGGGATCCAGTCCGATCCTGGGGACCCCAGGGGGTGGAGAAGCAAGTGTGGCAGGAGAGGGGTGGGGGCAGGGTCACCTTCTAAGGGCCCCAGCAAGGGCAGAGCTATCTCGGATGCCTGGAGCCCAGAGCTCTGGGAGTGCCCTGGGTCCTGGATCTCTACTTACTCGATGCCAGCAACACTACCACAGACATATACACAGTTGTGATAATCCACACCAGACCTACCATCCTGGGGCAGAGGAATCAGAGCATGGGCCACTGCGGAGGGGTAGGCGGGGGACCAGAAAGATCATAGAGGAACAGGAAGGGGCCAGGGTGCAGGGTCGAACCCCCGGAGAGTGTGGGAGCAGGGACTAGGTGTGCTCAGTACCCAGAGCTGGGCTCCAACACTGAGCCACTAGGCTCACAAAACACTCCACCACCCTATGGCGGGTGTGTGTGTGTGTGTCTACAGGGGGCTGCATCTCATCTCTATGATGGTGTGTGCGTGTGTGTGTGTGTATGTATGTGTGTCCACAGGGGGCTGCATCTCATCTCTATGATGGGTGTGCGTGTGTGTGCGTGTGTGGTGTGTGGTGCGTCCACCAGGAGCTGCATCTCATTGCATCTCATCTCCTCTCTCTCTCCAGATGCAGAGAACCAGGGCCTCCCACATGCAAAGCAAAGGCCCAGCACTGAGCTCCTCCCTGAGCCAGAGGGGTCCAGCTGCTCGGCCATTCAGTCTCCCCTGGGAAAGAGGCTCCATGACGTCATAGATATGTACATGCACATTAGCTTAAGGGCCTGCTCCCAGCAATCTCCAGCTAAACATCCTGTGAACTGTGCCACTAATATTCCCAGCAGGCAGAAGGAATATTCCTGTCAGCTCCCTGTAAGAGAGGGAACTGAGGCATGCCCAAGGTCACCAGGTCAGCAAAACCTAGAGTTGGACCTCAGTCAGCTGCCAGTCCGCAGCTCGCCCAGGACCTCCCAAATTTTCATCCTCATTGACCACTTGCAGCTCAGAGAGCTGGGAGCTCAGCACCCAAGGTCACTCCACATTGGTCAGCCACAGGTCAGCCTGGCTTGCCCTGCTGGCCCCAAACTCTATTCTGCCTCCGTACCCAGTTGGGATGGAAGATGCAGCCAGCATCGCACCTTCCACCCAGTATGCACATAGCCCCTCCGCCTTCCCGGCCAAGGGATCTCCCAGGCACAACTCCCAAGAGAGCAATCTGGCAAGCCAGCGCCCACTCCTTACCTCCTCACTCATGGGTTCTGGCGGGGGGTCCGGCTCCTCGGAGCCCGCCGAGATGGCCATCTGCAGCAAGCCCTGAAGACTGCGCGGGGGTGGGGGGTTGCCCGAGCCCCCGGCCGCGGGGCCGCCGCCCCCCGCCGAAGAAGCCTGTGAAGCTGGGGGTAGCGCCAGCGGGAGGCGGCCGCCCCTCGAGCCTTGGTCTGCCATGGGCTGTTCCTGCAGCGGGGAGGAAGGCGCTGGGGACAGAGGGTTCCTCCGTCACCGCCGAAGGAGCTCCGCGTCCTGACGCGTCGGCTTCTGGAGGTCTGCTAAGAAGGTGGCGATTTAGGAGAGCTCGGCGACCCGCCATTACCCCGGCCTCAGCCACAGCAGCCTTCTTCCTCCCGGCCGTCAGGACCCTTCCCCAAAGTCCTAAGCCCCTCCTTCCTCCCTAGCAACAAGCCCCACCCACTCTCCCTAGCAACCCAGCAAAAACCTTTCCCTCGTCTCCACGGATGGCGTTCCGGTCTCTTAGCAACCCCGCCACCCCGGCACTCCAGCAAGAAGTTCTCCGTGTGGTCTTCTTAAAAGCGGGCGCCCTGGAGCCCCGCTCTCCGAAGAAGGGAGCCCGGCGTAGGACGGGCCTCACCTCCCAGGACTTCGAGTGGCTGCCGCTAGCGAAGGCAGAGGCTCTCGCACCTGACTCCACTGGGCGCCGCCATCTTGGCCGGAAGTGCGCCAGTCCCGCCCGGAAACCCCTCCCCGCGCGGCCGCCCGCTGGCCTCTGCGCCCGCCCCAACGGGCGGGTTCGGCGCCCGCCTCACCGCCGCTGCAGCGCCAGGTCCTACCCCAGCGCCGCCTCCTCAGCCACCTTGCGAACTCTACGCCAGCCCTGGTTTAATCCCCGCCCCCTTCGGGTCTGACTCCGCCTCGGCGGGACCTAGCCACACCGAACCCTTCCTTCCCGCCACTCTAAGCTCCGCCCCTGTTCTAGGCCCTTCGGCCTCTCCCAGATAAGCCCTGCCCCTGTGCCTTGCGCGACCTCCTTTAGGCCACGCCCTCCCTGGCCACGCCCCTACTGGAGGTGCAGGTTCATCGGTGGGCGTTCCCGAGCCGTTTTCCTTCCATCCGTAGCGCACACCATATTTTACCGCGTCCAGGGGCACTCGGTCCTATCTCGTGTATGCATCCTTATGCTCACCCCACCCCTCCCGACTTCAGTTTGAGCTTCACGCAGCAATCTGTGTGCAGACCTGCGAATGAATCAGCAACTCCTTTGCTCTTCCTGGAGTCTGGCCCTGAAGAGGCTACTTCCTTGGAGTAAGGAAAGCCTCTTTAATAAATTGTGTTGGCATCATTGGACGGCTACATGCAAAAAAATAGGCTCAGAACTCTGCCTAGCACCATGTACAAAAGTAAGAAAAAAATGGATTAAAGACCTCAACATCAGACCAGAAACCATAAGGTACATTGAAGATAAAGTTGGCAAAACCCTCCATGACATTGAAGCTAATGGTATCTTCAAAGATGCCACGCCACTGGCTGAGCAAGTGAAAACAGAGATAGATAAATGGGACTATCTTAAACTTAGAAGCTTCTGCACCTCCAAAGAAACAGTGACCAAAATACAAAGACAGTCTACAGAATGGGAAAGGATATTCACCGAATACACAGTGGGTAGGGCATTCGCCTTACACGCAGCCAACATGGCCGACCCGAGTTCGATTCCTCCGCCCCTCTTGGAGAGCCCGGCAAGCTACCGAGAGTATTCGATATGCCAGACACAGTAACAACAAAGTCTCCAATGGAGACGTTACTGGGCCCGCTCGAGCAAATCGACGATCAACGGGAGGGCCTTTACCTTTACCTTTACCTTTACACATCTGACAAGGGGTTGATATCCAGGATATACAAAATACTGGTTAAACTCCACAAGAAGAAAACATCCAACCCCATCCAAAAATGGGGCAATGAAATGAACAGAAACTTTCTCAAAGAAGAAATCCGAATGGCAAAAAAGCACATGAGAAAATGCTCTACATCATTAATCATCAGGGAGATGCAGATCAAAATCACAATGAGATACCATCTCACACCTCAGAGACTGGCCCACATTCAAAAGAACAAAAGCAACCGATGCTGGCGTGGATGTGGCGAGAAAGGGACACTCCTTCACTGTTGGTGGGAATGTCCACTGGTTCAGCCCTTCTGGAAAACAGTATGGACGATTCTCAAAAAATTAGAAATTGAGCTCCCATTTGACCCAGCAATACCACTCCTGGGAATATATCCCAGAGAGGCAAAAATGTATAGTCGAAGTGACATCTGCACTTGTTTGTTCATTGCAGCACTCTTTACAATAGCCAGAAACTGGAAGAAACCTGAATGCCCACGAACAGATGACTGGTTAAAGAAACTTTGGTACATCTACACAATGGAGTACTATGTAGCTGTTAGAAAAGATGAAGTCATGAAATTTACATACAAGTGGTACAATATGGAAAGTATCATGCTAAGCGAAATGAGTCAGAAAGAGAGGGATAGACATAGAAAGATTGCATTCATCTGGGGGATATAAAGTAACAAAGTATGAGATTAATACCCAAGAATAGCTGAGATCAGCACCAGGAGGATTACTCCATAACTTAGAGGCCAGCCGGGTATCCTAGAGGAAAGGGCAGTTCAGATAGAGAAGGGAGCACCAAATAAAGGATGTTTGGAGGATCCTCCCAGGAGGGGAGATGCATGTCGAAAGTAGAATATGGACTAAACATGTTTGCCACTCAATGCCTCTTTTGCAGACCACAACACCCAAAAGGAGAGAGAGAACACAGGGGATTGCCCTGCCACAGAGACAGGGGGGATGGGGGGATGGGGGGATGGGGGTGGGAGGGATATTATCCATGGTGGTGGAAAATGGGCACTGGTGGAGGGATGGGTATCTGATCATTGTATAATTGAAACCAAAGCAGAAAAAATTGTAAATCTACAACTGTAAAAAAAAAATAAAATAAAATAAAGGGAAAAAAAAAAGAGGCTATTTCCTGAATCCTGGAAGCAAATTGCCCAGGCAAAAGTGGAATGTGTCTCATCTGTGAAAGTATTTGCTCTGGGATGGGCTTAAAGAGACCCTAGTTCTAGTATTGTTTCGTTTGGGGAAAGTGCTTGGGGCAACTCCTGGCACAGTGCTCCCGTGGCGTTCAGAAGACAACTGGGGGCAGAGATCAAATCTGGGGATCAAAAATGGGGGCAGAGATCAAACGGCTGCCAGCCGTTTCAATAATCTCCCTCACCCCTGTTCTAGCATTTGATAAGACACCTCCCTATCCATAGGTGGGGACCCCCATCAGAGATGAATGGAGCTCACTGATAGGCAGAAAAAGAAAGCAGAATACATAAACCCTGGGGGCCAGAGCAATAGTGTAGGATGCTTGCATTGCACTCGGCCCATCTGGGTTCAATTCCTGGCACTCCTTATGGTCACCTAAGCCTGACAAGAGTGATTCCTGAGTGCAGGGCCAGGCTTAAGCCTTGACCGCAAACTGAGAACAAAACACAAACCCTGGACGTGAAAGTGTGCACATGCATGTGTAGGCGTGCACATGTGTGGGTGTGGGCATGTGTATGCATGTGCACACATGTAGGGCTGTGTGTGGTCTGGATAGCTACCAAACAGAAAGTGAGCCCTTGCATTTCCTATGGTGGTTTTGTATTGCTGCATCAGCACTGTAGTACTGTAGCACTGTCCTCCCGTTGTTCATCGATTTGCTTGAGCGGGCACCAGTAACGTTTCCATTGTAAGACTTGTTACTATTTTTGTCATATTGAATAGTCATGGGTAGCTTGCCAAGCTTTGCCGTGGGGGAGAAATTACCAAAAAAAGTGATTCTTTTTTTTTTCCTTCTTGGGTCACACACCCGGCAATGCACAAGGGTTACTCCTGGCTCATGCACTCAGGAATTACTCCTGGTGGTGCTTGGGGAACTATATGGGATGCTGGGAATCGAACCTGGTCAGCTGCATGCAAGGCAAACCTCCTACCCACTGTGCTATCGCTCCAGCCCCCAAATGTGATTCTTAAAGCCACCTAGATTCATTACCTTTCAGTCCTGGGCATCAAAAGCCCAAAGTAGTTGGGGCTGTTACAATAGTATAAGAGAAAGGACATGTGCTTTGGCACATGACACATGGCCAATATTGATTCAATCCCCAGCATCCTATGTGGTCCCCAAACATTGCCAGGAATAATTCCTGAGTGTAGTCAGGAGGAACCCCTGAGCCTCCCCCAGATGTGGCCAAAAGAAAAAGTCCAAAGGTGATAGCAGGACTGTATTCTATTGGCAGCTTTGGTGGGGAATCTTTTCTTGCCTTTCTCAACTTTGAGTGACACCTGCATCCCTTGCATTATGGTCACATCACTTGAGCATCTGCTTGCTTTGTCCTTTCTTGAACTCTAGTCCATCCACTGCCTTGTTTTCATGTGGATCTTGAAGTTATGTCTAGAACCTAGCAGCTAATCCAGGATCCTAATCATCTAAAGATCCCAAGCTTATTACATCTACAAAGCCTATTCTGCCACATGATGTCACATACTCAAAGCCAGGGAGATAGCTTAAAGGACAGGGTCATGGTTTGGCACACAGAAGCCTCACTTTCAATCCCCTGCTAGAAGCAACCCAAGCATCTTCCTGGGAATAGTCCAAACCCAGCACCCCTGAATGTGGCACCCCGCCAGAAAGCATTTTGTTTTCAGGGCCACACCCAGCAGTGCTCAGGCCTTACTCCTATTTTTGTGCTCAAGAAGCACTACTGGAAAACAGAACCTTATGAAGTGTCAGGGATTGAACTGGGTTGGTTCTGTGCAAGACAAGCACCTTACCCACTGTACTATCTCTCTGCCTCCACCCCACAATTTAAAAAGTATATATTTCCCCCCCACACGAATAGCTAGACCAATTCTTGGGGAAAAGAAGATGGGAGGCATCACCTTCCCCAACCTCAAACTCTACTACAAAGTGGTAATAATTAAAACAGTATGATACTGGAATAAAGGCAGAGCTGCAGACCAATGGAACAGGGTTGAATATTCTTACACACACTCAAATATATGATCATCTAATTTTGATAAGGTAGTAAGAAATGTGAAGTGGAGCAAGGAAAGCCTCTTGAACAAATGGTGCTGGCAAAACTGGATAGCTACATGCAAAAAAATGGGCTCAGACCTCTACCTAACACCATGCACAAAAGTCAGATCCAAATAGATTCAAGACCTCAACATCAGACCAGAATTCATGAGGTACATTGAAGACAAGGTCGGCAAAACCCTTCACGTCACTGAAGCTAAAGGTATCTTCAAAGATGATACCCCAC